AGCTTGGACAGGTACATAGAGTAAATCAGTTTGTCTGCTCGTATAAACTCTGCCTATAAAACCAGCACAATATCTGACACTGAGATTGTTTATTCATGCCCGGGAAGGCTAAACCGGTCAAAAAATGCCCGTAGAAGTCAGATGTGTTGGCCGAAAGGTGCAAATATAGCAGCCATGCTGTAAACAGACACAACGCAATTACATCTTCGGATAAACGCAGAAAAAGAAGAAGTTTATTCATGTGTAGTAAACTTCATCACTAGAGCAGACATACGACAGTCAAAGGAGTCCCCATTTTGAGCAAGTAGCACTACTCATCGTTGTCCCTTTGTGGGATGCAATTTTTTGTTATTTGAAGCCCCCACACTGGCTTTTGCCTGGGATCCTGAATATAGCTGGACTGCAAATGTGGCCATAACAGCTGACAGGGGTTTCTAGGACCTCTCCACGGATGATCCTCATCCCCATGGTGGCACTTTGTGTCACCGGGTGTTTATCGCTTGTGTGATGTCCTAGTGGGGTACACCAAGCAAGTAGTAGCAACAGTGCTAGACTTCACTAGAAATCAACAAGTGAATGGCTTTGGCCATTTAACTCGGCTGCCAACAGGCAGCAGACCACAGTAGGCAGTAAAGTACAGACAAAAGAGGTTGACCATGCAAAACGACAGGCATAGGGAAATAAGAGTCCCTGGGAATCCTCATACATAAAGCACACAATCACACACCCTCTAGCAGTTCTTACGTCACAACAGCAGCATAAGGTACAAGTGGATCAAGATAAGAGATGAGATTTCAGCCTTTTTATCTCCATGGGAAATAGGCATGAGGTACACTTATATCAAAGCTCTTGTCTTTTTTCATGCTGCAGTTTCTGAGATCTTAGAATCCTGCTGAGATTCTCTATTCCAACCAGTGTTAATCCCCTTTTGATGATGCTACCCCTGTGTGTACCACCCTGACTTTTATACTACCTTTAGCTAAAACAGTACCATGAATCTGATGGTCCAAAATCCTCTGCAACTTCCCATCTTCAGAACCAAAGTTCCCCATGTACGATCCATGACACCACTGTTGACGAGCAGGGGTGGGCCAGACGCAGTGCCCCTTAACATGCATGTCGACTAATTAGGGGTGTTTCCTTTAAAGTTTCCTTCTGCCTGAGAGGCAAAGAAACAACAGTCTGCATACAAATTAACCAGATTGGAAAACGAATGTGCACGCAAAACTCAAGTTCTAGAACAAGACTAAAGTCCAGTAGTGCAAAAACAACCAGAACTCTCCACTAGAGTTTACAGCTGGTGAACGCGAAGAATTAGAAGATAACCAGATGCCACATGTAACCAGACTTTTATTTTCTTTCTCTGCGGAAAGGCAACTATCATTACCTTAGCTGATGAGAACACCATCAGTTGGCAATCTGCTGCCTCTTTTTATCAAAATGGAAATCGCCTGTTTATATAAACAGGGCACTGCCTCTTCACATCTACATGTGAATTCCCAGTTCGCAATAAAATGAGAATTATCTCATTACATCCACAAGGGAATCGTCTGTTTGTATAAATTTCAAATCAACATGGGAATAATTACCAGTTCATATGAAAATCATCAACATTAGAATCACCTGTTCATGTCAACTTGAAAATCACCTTTTCACATCTTCATGAGAATCACCTTTTCACATCTTCATGAGAATCACCTTTTCACATCTTCATGAGAATCACCTTTTCACATCTTCATGAGAATCACTTTTTCACATCTTCATGAGAATCACCTGTTCATGTCAACTTGAAAATCACCTTTTCACATCTTCATGAGAATCACCTTTTCACATCTTCATGAGAATCACTTATTTACCTCATTATGGGAATCACCTGCTTACTCAACATGTGGTTCAAGAGCACATCGACATGGGAATTACATATCTTGTGCAATAAAGTGCTAGATTACAGACAACCATTCAGAGATAACATGAACAATGATAGTCAAGAATATAATGTAATGCTTTAATCACACTTTGAGATTGAAATTGCACTATTTATTTTTCTTCAGTCTTTGACAAGTTGTCATTGACATAGTTCATAGACAAAAAACAAACACATAAAATGTATTCAACAAAGTATCAGTCCGTATACAAACACGCACACAAGAAATGTATCTTGCAGAGTATAATCGATTCATAAACGTATACACATGAAATATATAGGATGACAGACATATAGATGCACATGTAGGAAAACAGACAAACATATAGACACATGAAAGTTATAGCATAACAAACAAACACAAACATACAAAATGAAAATGAAAAAGACAACAGAAAACAAACATACACCTACATATCGTGGTAATCTTAGTTTTAACTTATAGCAAACAGGTCACCCCATAGTAGCTCCACTCTTGTGCCAATGAAACACACACACAAAATATCCATCACTGTCCCATGTGGAAAAATTGACACAGACTGCTTTCTCAGCATATCTACCAGCATATGCATGCATTAAAAGCATAAGGCAGCCATCAGAAGTGCTAACACAAACAGTCCGACATTAGAAATGCAGTTGATGAATGACAGAAGCAGCAGTTACAAACAGATCAGCAGTTGCACATGCGATTAATTTTAATCACATAAGATACCACCAATTCTGTGACAAAGGGCCACTAGCCATTTTCTGAATCTACTGTTCACACCATACTGGTCAGTCAGAAAATTTTATAAATGGACTCATTAGCTCACAGTGTTGCACCTTACACTGAATTCAGAAGCTGGGCAACAAAACTATATCCTTTCAGTCTACAAATGGAGGAAGATGCAACGGCCACCGTCTAAGAGAAGCAAGAATTACGTACCATGACTAAAAACAGTGAACGTGCCTCACCTCCGTTTTGAGTGGAAGGTACAGTAATACATAAAATGTATAAGACACAGTGTTAGCTCACAAATAAACACATGAAATGCACTCCACATAGTATCAGTTAGACAAATCCACAGACATGAAATATATTTCACAAAGTATCAGTTCACAAACAAACACTTATACATAAAATGTATCCATTTTAATTCTTACAGCCACTAGGTGTTTCTGGCATGAAGCATAGCCATTAAATCCAGCCATTTGAATGAAAGAGTCTGCAAGTCTCTTGAGAATAGTCTTATCTGTCAACTAGGTTCCCTTTCTCCTAACAGCCTTAATGTACAACACAGTTTTGCCTAAAACATTCTGAGTTACATCCTATGCTGTATGTCACAACCTACTTACTGCCCATACCACCTCTCTTGATCAGATCCCGTTCAGCATATCTATATTGCAATGAAATGAGTACACAGACATGTTTACTGCTCAAGAATGTTAGAAGGATGCGTTCTCCAGTACTCCACCAGCAGCATCTAACGTGAGATAATCATTTTCTCAAAGGATCGACACTTCTACATTCTATATCAAACATTTTGTATGGAAGAATTTACTCACACATCCACTGCTCGCTTCATTTGTCACACACTGTTCACAGAAAAACTTAATAAGCACCACGAAATAAATGAAAATGTGTATGGTATAAAATAAATGAACAAAACTCACAGAGAAACACTTTCAACAAAAGGTTTAGTATAGTCGTTGTGTTAGCATAATATTCCAAAGGTACTGTACATTAAACTAACATCAATGAAAGCTGAGCATGATTTTCATGTTCAATAAACATAACCAATTGTGGTTATAAGCACATACGTAATCCTAGCAATAAACCAATGGAAAAAATCATAGCTCATCTTGGGCCACCAGAAAGCCAGTTATTGAAATACCAGACAAAAAAAAACCTTATAAAATTTAATGTCTAGTCTGAAAGGACAAAAACTTAAAAGCAGCTGCCTGAGACATTCATGGTGCACTAAATCTATTCCTCAAAGCAGATTAGAAGCCCCCTCAAATATTCAGAAGTTCTAGATTTACTCCCTAAAACAAATCAGATGTTCAAGACCAGTATTTTTACACATCAAATGGCATCCGATAGTTGATATGGACAGCATCATACTGGTCAACTTTGCTTCCAGCCAGGCGGCCAATTCGTTGTAAAGAACTTTAGCCTGGTGGACAAGCATCTTGTCCAGCGGTTCTCAACCTGCTGGTCATGGCTCCTTTTTTTTTTGTTGTCAAATGACCCTTTCACATGGGTCGCTTTAGGCCATATGAAAACACATACTCACTGATGTAGAAAAATAATTGTCTGGTGGTCATCACAACATGAGGGAACTGTATTAAAGGGTCGCAGCATTAAGAAGGTTGGAAGGCAATCACCTAGCCACTGTGCTACTCCAGTTCTTCATTTGTCTGAGTCTCAATTAAGCAATGCAATCTCAAGAAACTGTCATAAGCATAAAATAAAGACCACATAGTCAGTCCCTACAATGTGAATATGAAGAAGGTACTACAAACACATGAGCATATTCTGCAGGCTTGTCCACTATAGTTACAACAATGAAGAGAAACCTTGCCTCAAGAACAAAGTGTGCAAAGCAAGCTATGGGGAACCATGGAGGATCTGCAACTGACATGCAAATTCAAAGGCAGCGAATTTGAAGGTCTGACCTGAGCATGTGAAACTGAACACAAAGAAGAAGAAGAAAGAGGAGGAGGATGAGAAGAAGAAGGGGAAGAAGAAGAAGAAGAAGAAGAAGAAAAAGAAGAAGAAGAAGAAGAAAAAGAAAAAGAAAAAGAAGATGAAGAAGGAGGAGGAAGAGGAAGAGGAGAAGAAGAAGAATCAATATCTATGTGATAAACAACTGGTTTTGTTTTTCTCCTAAACAACAAAGCATACCACCAAACAAAATCAAGAAAAAAAAATTCAACTAGCTGCAACCACTGGCTAACGTTATAGTGAGAACAAGCAAAACAGTCACCTCATGCACGATGGGAAACAAATAGCAGAGACAGAACAACCTTGTATGAAACTCAGGTGCGCATAAATATATACACAGAATGCCATGCACACTCCCTCTGGCAAACATCAAAAGAACTGCCATTTGCCAAGTATGGCCTCCTTGATGGCCTCAACATACTGCGCTGGAACCCAGTAAATCCAGTATCTGGAGGCTTCCGTTGGACCCAGCTGTATACCCTGTTTGTGACAAGATTAATATTCTGATGATGATGAGGAAAAGGTTGGAGCTTTTGTAATGAAATGCTATAGAAAAATTCTTAGAATACCATGGTTCAGGAGGAGAAAAAACACTGACATTCTGAACAAGTTGAACATCAAGGAGAACTGGCTCATAAACAGCATCCTGTCCCGAAAGTTAAAATATTTTGGCCACATCGCAAGCGTCATGGTGGCTTGGAAAAGACAGTGATGGAGGGTGCAGTTTGTGAAAGGCGAGGCAGGGGTCAACCACCATGAAGATGGATACAAGACATTGAAGATGCTTTGGCTTTGAAAGCACATGGAGCTGGAGAGCTGGCTAGAGAGAGGGATACTTTCAGGCCTGCCATGAAGACAGCGACGTTCTGTAAAGAACTTGCTGATTGATGATGACGATGATATTGATGATGATGATAATAATTGTTATTGTTGGTACCTTTCCCATTTTTCCTCCAGCAGTATAGAGTTATACTGTGCTACATCCACGTGTGGGTTCTGGGGCCCCATTGTGGGGAGAACAAGAGTAGACCCACTGCCTCCCCACACAAGTATGTTGTCAGAGATGACTAACTGGAGGTTTCGTCTAAAGTTGCAGTGCATCTGCCGGAGAGGCAAGGAACTAACAGTATGCATACAAATAAGCAAGATCCGTAAAACAGATGCACATGCAAAACTCAGGTCCTGGAACAAAGCCAAGGTCCAGAAATGTGGGTCTATTCTCGTCCGGCCCACCCCCTCTCCCCCCCCCTTCCAAATAGGGTTTCAGAACCCACACAAAGAGAACAATAATAATGAATCAAATCTGTGCTAGCGCAATATTGGAAGTTGGATGAAGTAGAAATGTGCTTAAAATTACCACCCGTGAAATGAGATGCCTGAGGAAAGCCAGCAACTTAAACCATCCGAGACAAAGTGAGAAATGATACTATCAGACTGTGGGATCATCCTCATGCACAAAATTCACTGAGAAACAAAACAATAAATGGTTTGGCCATTCGTTAGAATGCAGCCAGAATTACCACCAACACGGGTGCTACACATAACAAAATCTGATGTGAAAGCAAGAGGTCACCCTACGATAAGATGGATTGATGAGAACAAAGAGCTTCTACATATACAGGGAATTACTGTGATCAGCGCTTAATGGCAAAGGTGGAAATAGATGTTGATGATGATGATGAAGAAAGACACTATGAGACTAATAATTCAGATACAAAGATTTTTTTTAATCTGTATGTGATAGAATACAGCAAGACGTCATACTTTCTTTGGCAAAGCAAGACCAAAAAACATATAGTAAGTTGTTTGGTCCTGAAAGAGTTAACAGATCAGGACTACTCTAGGAAAAAAAAACAGGTGAAAGGTTACAGCAACGCTAAGCTAACACTTTCGACAGTCTTTGCAACAACACCAGAAACAAACAAATTCATTTATTATTCATTCATTATCCTGCTATCATTATTTGTAACATAGGGCTCACAGTTTATTCCTCTATTTGCTCTATCCTTGCGTTTATGGATGGAATCCAGTCCAGCCAACTTTGGCCTCTCTCATCAACCTTCATCCTAGGGTTTCTTTTGGGCATCATCGCCTCCTCAATCCCTTTATTTCCCATTTTAATATCTGTTTCGGTGATTCTCTGGTGGTTTCTTCTCAGTATGTGTCCAGTGAAGTGCCATCTTCTTTGTCTTATTACTGTTGATACTAGTGGCTGCCCATACATTTTTCCTATTTTTTTCACTCCTTTTAAATTCATCCTATTTTATTTTCATAATTTTTCTCAGACATTTGTTTTTGAATACAGGTAACTTTCATTTCATGTCTTTAGTGGTGCTCAAACTGTCACTTGCATATGTTAACATTTAAATAACATTAGAATTGAAAATACAAAACTTGGTTTTAAAACTATACAATTTTGAGTTCCATATTTTGATAAAGGGAGCCTCCGTTGTCTAGCGGCTAGACGCTCGCCTACGGATTGGAAGGTCATGGGTTCATTTACAGGTGAGGGCCGGATTTTTTTCAAAAAATTACTATGGCTCCCAGGTCGACCCAGCCTTGAGTGGGTACCAGGTACAGTCCTAGGAAGTAAAGGCGGCCAGCATAATGCTAACCACATCACCCACCAACTGCCGTTTGGTCTAGAAAATATAGGTCTAGCCCTATATGCCCAATATGCCTGAAAAGTGTGGAAAAGGGTCCTTTACATTTTACTTCCATATTTTGTTAAAGCTATTAAAAGCTGTTGTGCCTAGCTAATGTGTGAACCAAAAATACTTTGAGAATATTCATATTCATGTTTGCAGCTACTCACCATTATATGATATTCTTCGTGGTCTTTAATAGGCTCTGAGACAACTGCTTTTATTGACTGCATGGGTATTTTGTCAGTTCGTTCTAAAATATAAGATACAACGATTACAGAGTTATGCAAGCCTCTACACTCAGGTATGAAATAAAAAAGTAATGGATCGTTTTCCCTACCTTGATGTGAATTTGCTAAATGTTAATGAAAAAAGTAAGAGCATCTGTAGCACAGTGGCTGCATGCACCGCCTGCTTGCGAGCCTGAAGGTCTTGGGTTTGCGGACACAAAATAAACAAAGGCTCCCAGTTTGGATATTTTCTCCAGGTCATGCCGGTGTGCTGGGAAATAGACTGGGTGGCTCTGCACCACTTGGTGGTTAATTGATGTATGACAAGTTAGATATTGTGAGGTCCCTTCGTGAACAGGTGAACAGTGTGGAGGCGCAGTTAGATCATTAGGGTCTGAGGAAAATGACGCTGCGAAGAGTTGCCAGGGAATCTGTCCGACGCTCAACACTCAGGGGAAGGATGAGACGGATATACAATCAGAAAGTTACTGGTACCATCAGAATTTGAACTCTTTGCTTGCTGCTTAAGATGGGGTCTGAGCCCTTATGAGAGTGTCCAGAGTGTTGTGATGTTGATTCTTAATTCAACATTCAATATTCAGTTTGTTTAAAATTGGTATGTGGATATGTCCTTGACCGACCCCATTCTTTAAGGCCTTCATTTCAGATCTGAAAACTTTTCAGTACTTTCTCAATAGCCAACCCCAAACAGTAGAAATCCACAGGTCACATGACAGTCTAACATACAGGAGGTGGTAGATTAAGCCTACAGTTTAGTAATTTGGCATTTCATCTGCTGTGCAGTTTTGTGCTGTGCAGTTTTCACTTTTGTATGCTTCTGTTTTGAGTGCTGTGCAGTTTTGTGCTGCGCAGTTTTTTCTGGGGTGTAGAATGCTGCTTTGCAATTTGTTTGTGTAAAACTATATGTGCAATCAGCAGGATGCCTTACTAATTGGGGTACTTTGGGGTGGCCCTAAAAAGGGCCAATCATTCTAGATTTTTCCTGCTGGGTTCATGAATTACCAAAAAGAATAATTGACATGTTAGTAGATCTGAAGACAGGTTGAAATGCGCCACCTGCGCCAGCAGCAGAGATGACAGACTATTGTTCTGGTGGCCAGAATGCAACAATGTTTGCCAGAATGGTCACGAACACATCGCGACCTGAACATTCAGTGCATCTATGCCACGTAAACTAGCACATTTAAGAGTCTAATAAATATCTGTTCGACCCATTCAGCTGCATATTTCTCTCCTTTGCCAATTTTCACATGCGCTCGATGCATTGTGTATGTACAACAGTGGTGGGGTTGACAAAACTGGTGGAGTAAATAATGATGAGATGTATCAATCCAGGAATATTCTCAATTCCATTGTACGCATGCCACAGGTCAGAGATTACTGTCGTGCCAGGTCTGATGTTTGTGCTAATGATCGGGAGAAGCGTCTCTGCTTTTCTGGCTGGAACACAGAACATAAAGCACTCGCCTGTTTTGTGACTGACACCACCAAATACCTACTGTTGTGAAACACTTGTACCGCATGATTTTCCTACTTGTAAACAGACTTTCATCAATTTCAACAGTGATGTTCTGTATGTCGACCACTGCAGGATTCAATAATAATCTTTTGGCACAAACCTCCCTTATGTAGTTGCTCCACTCCACAGTTGTATTTGGCCTCATGCCCAGCTCTACTTGGCAAAACTGAATGCTTGTAAGCTCATGAAACCAGTAGTACAGAAACAGAATGATCTGTCTGTAAGGCAAGCGCGACCCTTCCAGCCATGTTCCTTGCCTTAACAGTATGTTCAGATGACAGGTTGACTTTCCACAGTGCCATCGGTTTCAGTCAGCGAAAAAACACTTGCATGATTGTTTCCACAACATCTGGTACTAGGCAGAATGCCATGATGTTGCAGGAAAGCAAGGCTACACTTTTGTTAGGAACCAATGCTGCTAATTCAAGGAAATTCATGGCGATGAAGACCGAACACAAGCCGCTGGAGAGACGCCGCCAGAAGAAACATGTGAAAACCTTGGCAACGCCTTGGAAGAAACACACAAAGCCGAGAAATAAACACAGAAAGCCGAGAAACCTGGTCCTACCACCCTCTAAAATACTGGACTGTCCCGTGAGTTATTCGTGGTCAGCTATTAAGAAAGAACAACATTTTCCTCACAGAGGATTCAAACACAACGGACCCAAAAGGTAAAGATGCAAGCCATTGAACTACCCTAGCTTGTTAGACAGTTAGCTGGCACCTTTATGTCTTTCCAGATGACAGTGTTATTTAGATAGTTAGTTGGTACCAGTCCGTCTTTCCAGACAATAGTGTGACATTGTGCATGGGAGCATGAGAATCATAGCCCATGACGATGGTGAGTGTGACTTGCAGGTTGTAAAGAAAAGTCTTTCACAACTAGAGCATGGGATTTCATGAATGCTGTTGCAATCACGTGTATTTTGTGTGCGTCTTCTCGGACACTCAGCTCCCATCAGTTTGACAATCATTTTTTCCCTTCATTCTCGTTGTTAGACAAGAGGGGTACATAAACAGCATGTGAAACATTTCTGAAATAAAAAGAATTCAGAAGCACCCAGTCACACAGAAAAGTATTTAATAATGTACAGACACTCCTGACAAAAGAATCTGAAGAGACACAAAAAAACATTCTTTCATGTAAAAAAAAGAGGCAATTATAACATAAACTTTTCAAAACATTAAAAGTGAATAGTGATTATTGAGAGTTATCATTACAGCCATCCGAACAGATTTATAGCTGCTCCGATCTACTCTTCAAAAGCTCCACAAGTGTCAAGCAACTGATGACACGTTCTATATTGATTAATAAAACACGTTGTCCCCTTGCAGCTCCAGGTCCACCAGCTTAGACAGGTAAATGGAGTCATGCTCTTTGCTACATGCATCTTTGCAGTAAATGGTGCTGTGCATGCTAGTGATAACATCACTTTAGTCCAGTACTGGACCAGCCATCGTAACCACAGCATTAAACCCCCAAAAAATTTATAATATCGTTTTCATGCAAGTGGTGATTCCAGGATATGATACCAGACAGTTTTATAGACCGGAAATTAGTTGAAGCCTAAATGGTCAACATCACACAGGCTTATCTTTATTTCCTGACATTTCCTGATAACAACTGTAGGCTGCTTTGACGTGGGAGCCGAGATAAATAAAAGAATCTGTCCACATTCGGATTAAACGCCAAGACCGTTTAGTAGGCGAGATAACATGAACAGTAAAACAAAATTATTGTCATTAAAAAAAAAGAAAACACACACATACACACAAAATGTCAAGGGGTACATACATTTCAGAGAAAGCCCCCTACCTTTTGTGCCAAGCCATAACTGATCTGCTTCCAGCTTGAATGTAAGTCTCACCTTTCCACCAGCTTTATTGTACATACCAGACAATGGGACCTGGGGGAGTGCTTCACTCCTGTTCTTTATTCCAACAGGAACATCGTCTGGCTTCCCGTACTTATCCAACACTTTTCTGTGTTGCTGAAAGCATGAAAAGAGTTGCTTAGCCATCAATGCTCAATCATTATTTTAAGTAAATCAACATAGTCTGGCTTCCTGTACTTATCCAACGCTTTTCTATTTGCTGAAATCATGAAAACAGTTGCTTAGCCATCAATGCTCAATCATTATTTTTAGTAAATCAACATAGTCTGGTTTCGCGTACTCATCAAACACTTTTTTATGTTGTTGAAATCATGAAAACAGTTGCTTAGCCATCAATGCTCAATCATTATTTTTAGTAAATCAACATCGTCTGGCTTCCTGTCCTTATCCAACGCTTTTTCTATGTTTATGAAACCATGAAAACAGTTGCTTAGCCATCAATGCTCAATCATTATTTTTAGTAAATCAACATAGTCTGGCTTCGCGTACTCATCAAACACTTTTCTATGTTGTTGAAATCATGAAAACAGTTGCTTAGCCATCAATGCTTAATCATTATTTTTAGTAAATCAATTTAATTAATGGCGGGCAAAGTACTTAGAGTGCTAGGCGCCCATGCAGGCGTTTCCATCCTCGGTAAAAGATGGAGATTTTTTCTTTTGAGGACAAAAGTAAAAATCCTAACCCGTACATTTCATGGTGACTGCACTAGCCGTATGGCCTTAGATCCTCAGGTTCCTCACCCCTTGACCCCACTTTCCCACCCTGAAAGTGGTAAATACAAGAAGTAGATAGTTAGTGTAATTAACTGTTTTATCTGAGCTTTTTAGTGAGGCTTAGCAGACAGATTGGCTGGATCTGCACCACTGGGTGGTAAATTGATGCATGACAAGGCGGATGTGGTAAAGGCAATTTGGAAACAAGCAAACGAATCAGTAGAGATAGAAGATTATTATGGCCTGGAGAGAATGTGGCACCCGGGTGTAACCAGAGGGTCTGGCCAGCTCAATACACTCAGAGGAAGGGCAAGCATGCATGGGAATGCCCCGAGTGTTGTGATGTAAATTCTTGACTCAACTCAACTACTGAGGTTTAATTAACTGAGAATTAAATAGTATCACAGAATCATTAATTAGGATTTTTGGAGATAACTAAACAAATCCCAATAAATCACAAAGATGCTCAAGTTGGAAAGGACACATACTGAGAAAATCCGATAACATAACACCCTTCCACAGGAACCAATGTGGTTAAAGAAATAAATGTAGATCAAAAAGCAAAGCTCATTGAGAAGGGGATTAGAGAGTGAGGTGCAAAAGTTGGACTGAGTCTATGCTCCATTGAGGGAATAAAGGGCAGAAGATGAAGAATTTTAGAATCTATGGAGTTTTTTCCCGCCTAGATCAGAACATGACCGAATCAAGGTGGGTTATAAACAGCAGAGGGGATCAGCTGGTTCAGAACAGGACACTCAGGAGCACATTCATATTCATAGAACACATTCACTGATCTATCTCGCTGGATCTAGTCTACAAGTTACCAAGAACTGTCCAGACAAACAGCAGAAATCCTAGTCTACAAGCTGGGAAAAATATGTTAGACAAATGACAGAAATCTGTCTCACTGTATCTTGTCTACAAGACAAATTGTGGATTACCAGTGAAGGCACCATCACAGTGGCCTGGTAGTGACCCATACTAGTACTGCAAACACTGATTATAAATCATAATATAAACAAGGAGAAGGAAATCAAGACAAGTTTCCCTTGAGTTTAGTGTTTACCATTTGTATTTCTTTATAGTTTTAAAGATGGTTGCGTATCCTTCATGGGATGTTGCAAAACCAACCCCAGCATTTTTTGGCTGTAATGGTTTTTCTAAGCAAATTTTACAATCAGTAGTTTGTCATTGCTTTCTGAGCGGTCAGCTCTCGGTACCACTGTCAAAACCAATGCAAGACAAATTGTCTGCAGCTTGAACCAAGTACCCTGGCATTAGGAAGCATGTTCCCAATGCCAAAGCTGCAGATGCTGACTATTATTATAGTTTTAGTTGGTGGGAGGTTCATTACAAAATATAGCACACACAGAAAAATGAAATTAAGTATGAAAGCTCCATAACCTAACCATTACACTAAGAATTGTCCTTGTATTTATCTAGAGGTGTCACTTTAAGGGTATGTGTGCCGTGCAAAATTTTTTAGCCTGACAAGGCTGCAGCAGTGAAACAAGTTTGAAAACCGCTGCTTTAAAGTGTGTTAGGAAAGCAGTTCTTACAGGGAAACCGTACCAACCAGAAATGTAGGTTCTGTGGCTTCTGGAAACAAAAAAGGTTAACCTTAAAAAAACATATACAAATCACCTTCTGTTCTGAGAATGGTTCTTTTGATGCCTTGGCAGCAGCTTTATCTTCTGCCTGAAGGTCTTTTGGCGTTGGGGCACTCACAGATAAAACGTCATTCAGTGTTGAACCAACAACCATCAGTTTAGCACCAGTGACCACCTTTAGATCTTGTAATGTCGCATCATCACGTGCTAAACCTTCAGTAAGTCAACAAGTGAATAATTCATAATTGTTAAAAATGAACACAATGTAGTTCATGGTAAAGGAAATTACCTGCTGCCATTCAAGTGATCATCTTTTAGAGTGTTATCTGATGAATCACTTTCATTAGATATTAGAAATGTTTGCATATTAAAATTATCATCAAGCAGAGGATCCTTTGTTCATCTTCCTCTTCTGCGTTCCCCGACTATGAACTACGACGTAAAATCTTGGCTGTTTCCAATGTCTGGATTTTGGTCTTGTTTCAGGACTGGAAAGTTACATGTAATGATTTATAGTGACATATTTGTGTGCCGAGTGTTGGTTCCTTATCTCTCAGGCAGCTGTGCTCTGATTTTGAAGGAAATGTCAATCCTAACTATATGAGCCAGTTCACACACACCAGCTCAGTCATTAATTAGGTAATCAATACTTTTAACGGTACATGGTCACTTGTAAGATAATTAACACACACAATAATACAGCAGTATCAGGACACTAAAACACATAATCAACACAAATAACAGTGCACAGTCACCAATAAGATAATCACATTATAAAATATACAATGTCCAGTGAATAAATACAGTGTCTAGTGAATAGATATAATGTCCAGTGAAAAAATAATGTCCAGTGAATAAATAGTGTCCGGTGAATAAGATAATTAGCATTAATACAATAATTTGGTTAGTTGGTATCCTTTACATGACGTTGCAGAGCCAACCCCAGCAGCCCCTGGCTGTTGTGTGGTTTCTCTAGACAAATTTACGTCCAGTAGTTTGCCATTGCTTTCTATACGGTCAGCCCCCTGGTACCACTGTCGAAACCAACGAAAGGCGCATGGCCCGCAGCTGGGATCAAACCCAGCACCCCGGCATTACGAAGCTTTCGCATCAACTTAGCCACAGAGCCGACATAATACAATAGTATGCAGTCACTAATAAGAGAATCAGACAAACAATAATATGTAATTGTTAATAAGATCATCACAAAGATAATGAGAATTAACCAGGTGAATAAAAATCCAGTTTTTCTTGGTGATATCCCACCCCAAGATATGGAGTCATACAGCCAGCTAGGCAGTAACGTAGATAAAGATGGAGGGACTGATAGAGATATAAATCATAAAGGCAAGAGGAAGTTTAACAGCAAATCCGTGTAAATCAAAAGAAATTAAAACTAGCACTAAACTTAAAATACTTAGTTCTAATGCCAAAGTACTGTTGTATGCAGCTGAAATGTAGTTAATAACTCAACCAATTATTAATACACTGCAAATATACATTAACTGGTGCCTGCTCATAAAAGAGGGAATCAAACTATAACAGGATCACTAATGTTGAGTTTTAGGGCAGAATTAAACAAATTCAAGTTAATAAACGGGTGAAGAAAAGATGCTCACACTGAATAGCACACACACTGAGAAAAAATGAGAACAGTTATAACTAGAACGTTTTTACAATGGAACCCACAGGAGCAAAGAGCGGAATAAATTGCCGAAAAAGAACAAGAATTTATCAGCATTAATCAACAAATAATAAAGTCAAGCAAAATGCAATTGTTTTCAAATAAATTACAAAAATACAAAAGCATAAGCAAATCCATTTTTAAATAAGCTGCTAATATAACTACAAATGCAGATTCGTATGTACCATTCAACATCGACATAAATCTCACCTTTATACATTATTTTTTGTAATGTGGCCGGAACACCTAAGGAGTAAATAATATAATAACTTTTATGATGCAATCTACAAGCTTCAAAATATAGAATTATGTACGGATCAGCATTTACAACAGTCATTCATCACATTTCAAACATTCCAGATATATATAACTTTAAACTTACCCTCGAAGTGGAAGAAAATTGGTAGCAGTAACACATCATACTTGCTACTGCACTGATCAATAGCAACAGCAATAGGAACAGAACCTCTTTAACCCTCTTGCCCCAGAAACATGCAAGAAACAGCAATAGCACCTGAACCTCTTTAACCGTTTGCCCCGGAAACATGCAAAAAAAAACTGCAACAGAAACTTAACCTCTTTAACCCATTTGCCCCAAAAACTTGCAAAAAACAACAATAGGAACTGAACCTCTTTAACCTTTTTGCCCCGGAAACATGCAAAAAATAGCAATAGGAACTGAACCTCTTTAACCCTTTTGCCCCGGAAACATGCAAAACACAAAATGGGCCATGACCATACAGGAATTACATTTTTAAAAATCAGTTCACTATAGACAAATCGGAAAAGTGCAATTTTCAGGAAACTGACACCAACTAGATGTGTCAGTTTTGCAGCTTATTGGGGCCAAATGGTTAATCTGTTAACCTGTCAAGATCTGAGGCCAGTAATGCATTACTGCAATGACAGAATGGTTAGTGTGCTTGCAGACTAATACAGTGGCAATGGTTCAGAAATGCAGAATCTGTTCCTTCAACATGGCTCCTGCGTCAACCCAGCCTAAGAAAATAGTTACTAGACAATATAAATTTTTTTTTTCTGGGAAGGAAAAGGGATAAACAAGGGGACTAGCTACTTCACCTCATATGTTGTGGCCTAGAAAGTATGAAATTCTAGCACACCCCCCCCCCCCCCCCCTGCTGTATCTGCTATATTACTATCTTTTAACATAAAGCCAGTAATCACAGTTAGTTCAGAAACTTTTTGTCTCATGTTCCCTTGGTTGAAGTGTTTTTAACGTTTCCTTAATAAAGTTAGTTGCGTATCCTTTACTGGACATTGCAGAACCAACCCCAGCATTTGTTAGAAGTTGTGGTTTTCCTAGGCAAATTTAATGTTCAGTAGTTTGCCATTGCCTCTGAATGGTCAGCTCTCAGTACCACTGTCGAAACCAATGAAAGACAAATTATCCGCAGCTGGGAACACCCCATCATTACGAAGCCTAAGGTTTCCTTAAAAAGTATGTAAAAACAATCAAATGCAAAAGTTCTGAAGAGACAAGGAATGGGGGGGAAGGGGGGGGGGGGGGAATAACAGAGTCAATTGAAATATTTTGGCAACATTAAAAGACAACACACTTTTAACAACCGTACAAGAGGAAAAAATTGAAGGCAAGAAATCAAGAGGCAGACAACAATACAAGTGGAAGGACTACATCAAGAGATGAATGAACAGCAGTCTGAGAGAGTGTACTAACAAAACAAGAAACAGAGTGTGTTGGAGGTCTCTTGCAAGCAACATTCCTTGTGCAGACGGCAACTGATAGATTGACTGAATAACTACACATTACATCAATACAGCTAAGAAAAATGTTACAATAGCTCACTGTTAAGTTTCAACTATATGCAGAATTTTAGTCAGAAAAATTCAACACTAAACAATGATAAATTCCATACTTTGAAGAATTAAAACATTTCATCATGATTCATGTAGAAGATTCTTTGCAGAATCTCACTCTCAGAACGGTACACTGAAAATACTTTTGATCCTTAGACAGGTTTTCTTTTTCTTCTGTGTTCACCCTTAGAAGGGCGGCTAGGCCACAATATCTATACCCTTTGGCCTAATACATCAAATTTCAGCAAAGTTCTTCTTCTTCTTCTTCTTTTTCTTAGCATTTATTGGCTGTAAACTCCTGCAGAAAGTTCTTGTTGTTTATCCACTTCTAGGCTGTAGTTCAGTTTCTAGAACTTAGTGTTTTGCTTACAGATCAGTTTTAAAGATCTAACTTATTTGTATGTGGACTGTCTGTTACTCACCTTCCAGGCAGATTCACTCCAACTCTGAAAGAAAAACCCCCAAATGGCTGCCTTTTATGACATGCTTGTTAAGGGTGCATTGGGTCTATTCTTGTTTTTTCCACGAAAAGGGGCCCTGGAGCCCATATGAACAAGAACCACTCAGATTAACAACCTTTTATGACATGTTTGCTGGGGGGTCATAAGTGTAACCCCCCACCCACACTCCCCTCCCCCCCCCCCACCCCCAAGACTGGGACCCAGAACTCACAGTGGGGGACTTCCTTTAATTTCCTGTGTCCACATTTCGCTCATCAACACTTGACTCTTCTTTTAAGAACCTTGCCTTCTGTCAACTTCCAAAGCCAATGCAGGTCTTCATAAATTTTAGGTGATGACATACGAGGCAGGATAGTCAGTGTTTTTGCTTGTTACCTGTCTTCCCAGTTAAGGAGATCCCTGGGGATCATTGCCGGAGCTAGAGTTTGCATTATAAGGAGCCTTCTTCAGGCGGCTAGTCTTTCAATGGAAAGAGTCTGAGACACATGGAATAAATGCTGGTGCAACGAATTCAGCCTCATGACTTGAAATCTTTCTTATCAGAAATGTTTAAGCAGCTTTTAATCTTTCCAGACAATAGTGTCGCATCAGATATAAATACAAATTAAATGTAAACATATAGAGAACACTGACCTGTTAACTTTTCTATGTGAGACTTCAGCTTACTAACCGTCTGGTTCAGAGGGAAAGAAACATCATATTTTTCTTTCTTGAATATCACACAGAAGTCAACTTTTTCTACATCTGAAGATTCTGTAAATAGAGATTTTAAGAATATCAAGGAACTAATTAAAAAACAATGCATTTGAATTTTTTTTTTATGGCATCAAATAGTCTTAAAGAACTGAAGAACAATTAATACAAAACATTCAAAGGAGCGCACGACTGCTGCCGAAAAAAATAGCGACAAGTAAGAAGACTACTCTTTGCATAAAGAGTGAACACAGACTGATTTTTCCTGAAGGTCTAGAATTAAAAATCTGCATCCGAGCCAATTGTGTTTTCTTTTTTTTTTTTTTCAGAACTGGTCTAGGCTTTCAGGTCAACAGCCTAAAATGGGTAAAGATAATGTCCTGGGAAGTAAAGGCAGCCAGTGTGATGCTGACCACATCAGCCACTGAGTGTCATTTTGTCCATACAAATAGGAGTCTAGTGTCATATGTTTGATGTGCCACTGGGAAAAGGGGTCCTTTACTTTTTTTTTTTAAACTTACAGCCTACTAGAAGGCCTCTTATTCTTCCTATTCTTCTTCGCTCCTTTTGTCAGAAAACTCATATCAGGAGGCCGGTAACCTTTATTAAAGCTAAGGTGCAGTTCATATCTCCATATCTGTTGGAGTACCATACAGTTTTGTCTTTACTGTGGTTGGAATAGGCCAGATTGCATCTCTGTTGGCAGCATTTTTATGCTTTAGGGTGTCTTCAATATCTTCTGTCCCCATCTATGTTCATCACCCTTCATCTTCTTCTGGCCTTTGAGCCTGAAAATGTATGGCCTTATTGCTAGTTCTGTTATTTTTTGGCCTGACAGAAAACAAAGTCCACAACCTTATCAAGGATTTAAACCTAGGTCTCCCACAGGAAAGCCCAGGGTTCTCAATTGTTCAACACAGACATCACTTACTTAAATCATCCTCATCATCATCTCCGACTCCCTGGCCAGCAGCTGCAAGTATTGACTGTATCTGCTGTTCTGTACACACTGGCCCAGAATCTGAACCCTCTTTATCATGATCATTTTCTGCGGTGTTCGCACTTCCTGCTTTCTCTTCCTGCTTATCATCAACCAAGGTTCCCTCCTGTGGTATATCTGACAACAGCAACCAGAATTACCGCCATTAAGATTTTGCGCCCTAAAACTAATTTTACAACACAGAAAGATTTATTAATTTTTAAAAAAAAAATAGGGTTCGTAGAGGGGCACTAAAAAGACTGATTAATACTGCTGTAAACAAACCTGAAACCAAGAAAACATTGTAATAAATATGATGATGACACAGGTGGTCTCCAATCAAAAATTACTACAGCAAAGGTCCCCAAAATTACCACAAAACTGCTTAAAAGTAAAATAATAATTTTTTTTTAACAGATAAAAAAATCATGAATAATGACTTCATATAATGAATACTATTTCTAGTAAGCAGGACTGAAGTTGAAGTGACTTAGCCATAATTTTTTTTTCAGAACAAAAATAATATTAATGCACATGACTCATAAAACAAAATATTATTGGATTATAATAAAAAAATTATAAAATTAACTTGGAAAAACACTACAAAATTATAATATGCGCAGGCTTATATAAAATATCTTCAAAATCTATAGGCTATGAATGCTTTTACTAGAACTATCAATATTGGAAACTGCTGCACTAGTGTCTGCTACTTAAAGTGTAACTGCCAGTCGAGTCATAGTTGGACTTGACAATAAAGCGAGATGTCGTTGTTTCACTGTCGATTACATTTCTGATAGTACTTCATTATTTTTTGGAAAGCCAGAGCCATCAAACTGTTCATTTTAACTTTGCAAAGAAAAATCAAATCAAGAAAATCATGCCAGCATCAAAAAAATTATAAAAATGACCACGATCCCTTTGAGAATTTTATGCCATGACATAGATTTCGTAAATGTGTCAGCGACATGAAAGATAACAATGAAAATTCATCAAAAATTTACTATAATCACTACAAAGCTGTTTCCTTTAATTAAACTAATATAGAGATGAGAATGGACCAAAGGTTTCAACCAAATTCATAACAAAAATTGCAATTTTAACAAGACGACCAGCACTTTAAGTTATCACAGCAAGAGGTGCAATGATGGTAGCCAGCCAGGCATAAACATCGGCGGATCACATAACGCGTGATCGTGGTAGTCCATGGGTTAAGAGAAACAAGAAAACTATCCCATGCTGCAACAACTGGAAAAAATATGCGGAAAGAAAGACAGCGAGAGAAGACTCTTGACAGACTTCTGTCACAGCAGTCATCTAGGCACTTGGTGATGATGATCATAAGGAAACAGGTACAGTTTTTAAAACCTTTGACTGAATGTGGATAAAACCATCACCATAAAAAGGTTAATAATAAGATTAAAAAGATAGTTCAAAAACTTAATTGCTACAGAAATATTCTTAGAATACTGTCATCATCATCATCGTGTGCTCTGCCAACTAACTCAGGTGCTCATGCGTCTCCACAGATCACGATCCCTGGTTGCTTGATGATATTAATCCATGCCATCATTTCAGCCCATCCAGCAACATCTCTCTTGGTCTGCCTCTACCCTTTTTACCACTGATCTTTCCAGTTGTCACGATGTTCTCCAATTTCTCTTTTCTCATTATGTGGCCAAAGAACAGTGTTTGTCTCTTTCTTATAGTTGTATATAGAGAACTACTTTCATTTGCTTTTTTCAAGCATTCGTTGTTAGTTACTCTGGCCATCGTAACATTCATCTCAAACCACATCTCTGTTGCTTCCAAATTTGTCCACTAACATTCCAAGATTTGCTGCCATACAGCAGAACAGGTTCTATGTAATATGTTAGCACCCTCTTTCTGACATGAAAGAATACTGTGGACCAAGAAAAATAAAACTACCAACCTATATTATCTGGACACTGAGATTTTGGCCATTTTAAGTGTCACAGTGACCTGGAGAGAACAGTGATAGAGGGTGCAGTTTTAGGAAAATTAAAAAGGCCAGCCACTGCCAAGTTGAATACAAGACACTGAAGATGCACTGGCTATGAAAGCATAAGGACTGAAGAAGTGACGAGAGAAAGACAGACTTTCATGAAGACAGCGGCAATCTGTAAATGACCTGCTGCCTATTGATGATGATGATGAGATCAAAAACTGGGTTAAAGTCCTCTGATTATCTAACTCCATTATCACCTGTTCTAAGTAATTTTAAGCAGCTCTGCATAGTCAGAACCACCAATGCTCTGCATGCCTTTATAAAAGTTTCTTTAAAATTCTGAAAATTCAAAATCTGTCACACAATTTCAATGGTAACTTCAAACTGATCACGTGATCTTTCTGTTTTCATATTTTTTTTTTACAGCATCGATCACTTTTAGCAAGCGTCTGTTCAATAAGTTATGGCCTGACGTATTTCGCTTATCTCCTCAGGTGCATTACTACAGAGTTATATCAACATATAAAAATTCTTTAATGCCTGTATTTTGCATTATAGTATTTTCAGTAGCATTCAATGTCATACTATGACCAAGCCCAGATTAAAAGGTAAAATAAAAACTCCTTTTCCATGGCACTAGTACAGACATAAGGTTCTGGATCTGTTTCTTTTTTTTTTTGGTTACAGATAAATAAATCTAAGAGTGAAGTGATCAGCAACAGTCAGCAGTATGAGTTAAGAACATATATCATAACATTAAGAACATTCCCAGGGGGAGCACTCTGTCCCAATCCTCGTAAGCCAATGCAGAGTTCCAATTCTGATGGCACCAGTAGCTGTCTGATTGTATGTTCACCTGGCCTTTCCTCTTCTTGCTGCGTGTCAGCCATATCCACTGGTCACTCTCCGCTGCATCATTCTCTTAAGACCATGATGATTGATCTGTAGCTCCACATTGCCCATAACAGTACATCTCTCCAGCCCCAACCTTACTTTATTTTACCAGTGTCTGTTTTTTTAAAGTTTGTTTTATATATGTACATATAAAGGCTATCCTCCGAATTACAGCCCCAAATTATCGAGGTCGAAAATATACCCTAACAAGGCCTTAGTCACATGTAAATTGCAGACCTCTTTCCAGTGACTACACAGCATACCACGGAAAAGCTTCCACCGAGTTAAAGTCACCGCCGAGAGTTTCCCCTGTGCTTCTACACGTGTAGCAGGGCTAAACTAGATGCCTGGGACTCAGGACCACAGCTACCACCTCTCCTGCAGCTTCCTCCATTTGCTGGTGAGTCCCAGGCATCTAATTTAGCCTCCTCCGCGCCACGCGTAGCGGTGCGAGTAATTTTTCTGCGGTGGCGGTACAGTCGGCAGAAAGAGGTCCGCAATTTACATGTGACTAAGGCCGTGTTAGGGTATATTTTCGGCCTCGATAATTTTAGACAGTTTTTCGGAGGAAAGCCACAAATAAAATTAATAAAAATGAAAGTTGAAAGAGTAAGATGCAAAATAAGCCAAACATCTACGTGGCACTCCACTTTAAAACAACTGCAGAGGCAATTTTTGCATTAGCTGAGCAATTAATAGTTTCATTTATTGTACAATATATATGGACTTCCAAAACTAAAAAATGTAAGCAACGATTATCATTTATGAATGAAATGACGACGTTGAATAAGTCGTGAGTGAGTGATGAGTGAGTCAACAATATTTTTATTTCGTCTGTACAGTAAGTTACTTTAAAGTAAAAACATTTTAAACGATGAATACTATACTAAAAGATGAAAATGTTATAAGAGTGTTTAAAATATTTCTAAAAATATCCAGCAGTTATATAAAGAACTGTGTAAAGATGTATTACTAGTTTCTGTACCCCCTTTACTAGAACTTGACGCCATTGTTGTTGATAGGGTATTCTGTTACCTTTCTCCACAGAAGAGCGAAACATTCACTTCCTTCCAACATTCACTTTGGCTGCCGAAAATATTTAGAGAATAGTACCAAATTTTGTTTAAAGGTGCCAAACTCCACCATAAAGTACAAAATTTTTAATTTATAATTTAAAAAAAAACAGCTTAAACGCCTTTAAAAAGATTACACCCTGAAGCACATCGAAAGGGCATCACTTTAATGTGTACTGTTGCCCAGAAGAAGGTGGTGGTGGCGGGGGAGGGGGGGGGGGGGTTAAAAAAATGGATTGTGTCCGTATGTATTTGTCATGCGGTAGAAAGCGAATGGCAGCTGGAATATAAAGTATATAATTCAACCTCGCATGAAGACTATATAAAAACCATGAAATTTACACGAACAACACGATACCCAACAGCTATTACCCTGAACATGTGCAAGCGTTGTGTTGCTATTAAAAGGTTAGGCTATCCTCCAAATAACGGGCACAAAAGATGGTGGCCAAAAAACAGGGCCTCAGTCACGTGTCATTGCGCACTTCCGGCGACTTAAAAATGGATTGTGTCCGTATGTATTTGTCATGCGGTAGAAAGCGAATGGCAGCTGGAATATAAAGTATATAATTCAACCTCGCATGAAGACTATATAAAAACCATGAAATTTACACGAACAACACGATACCCAACAGCTATTACCCTGAACATGTGCAAGCGTTGTGTTGCTATTAAAAGGTTAGGCTATCCTCCAAATAACGGGCACAAAAGATGGTGGCCAAAAAACAGGGCCTCAGTCACGTGTCATTGCGCACTTCCGGCGACTTAATTTGCGGTTTTCCGGCGACTACCGCCACCGCAAAGAGTTTCCCATGCCGCTCACGCGGCGTGGATTGGGTCTAAACTAGATGGCTAGGACTCTCGAGCAAAGCTGCAGGAGATGCGAAAGCTGCTGCTCGTGAGTCCTCGCCATCTAGTTTAGCCCTAATCCACGTGAGCGGCGTGCGGGACTCTTTGCGGTGGCAGTAGTCGCCGGAAACCCGAAAATTAAGTCGCCGGAAGTGCGCAATTGACAAGTGAATGAGGCTCTGTTAGGATGTTTTTGTGGCCACTATCTTTTGTGCCCGTTGTTTGGAGGATAGCCAAACGGTTATTCAGAAAAACATCTTAGTGAACATACACCGTCCCAGTATGGGACGCCAGGCGAAAAAAAAAACATTATTTTAAAGTCCCATCCTTGCTGTTGTCGAGAGCTTTATCTAATATAACCTAGCAGTTGAACGAGATTTCTGGGACTTTCTGGGATTCTCATCTAAATAGTGGCACTTTGTGTCACTGTGTGTTAATCGCTCGTTGTGAGGTTAAACGACACTCAAACACCCAGAACATGTGCTTGCAATGCCACGAATGTCCGAAAACGACCGTCAAAAGCCACTGGTGTGTTGGAGACCAGAATGAGCTTGCAGGTCATTGACAGAGGCACTACTGTACGCCTCAGAGAAAATCGTAGAACAACTGACAGTGCTACATTTGTCAAGCTTACCGAAGCATCAGGCGTGGTGCCAAAAGCACAGTTTTGCTCGTCAAGGGTCAAATAGTATTAAATTTGTTCAAATGTACCAACTTCGGTAGCCCTGCTTTGACACGTTTTTTGAGATAAGCCTCACCGGGAAAGTGCAAAGAAGTGGCGACTAGTGTAACCGGGACCCTAGGTCGTATTCTACAGATAGCCACGTGTAAATTATACCTATAGGCGATTTACGGTGTTTTTCGCTATCTTGCCAACTGTATATTTGATGTATAATGATTGAGTATTATCTTACAGTGATAGTAGTAGCAGCAGCAGTAGTAGTAGTGCTGGTGGTGGTTGTGGTAGTAGTGGTAAGTAGGTAGGTAGTTGTACCCCACCAGGACATCACACAAGCGATAAACACCATGTGACACAAAGTGCCATCATGCAGATGAGGATCACCCATGGAGAGGTCCCTGAAACCCCTTTCAGCTATTATGGCCATATCTATGACTAGGCCATATTTATGGCCCGGCTATATTCAGAGCACCCCGCAGAAGCCAGAGTGGGGCTTCAAATAACAAAAAATTGCATGATAGCCATGGTCGTCTTAAGGAATGAACCAATTGGGCACTTGGTCGCGGTCCCCGCGAACCTAGGGGACAGTTAAGAGACTGGCCATATAAGAAGTTTGTAGTGAAAGATTAAACAGTATGAAGAACCTATGGCAAAGCACCTGTAAATTGGTTTAAAGTAAAAATCTTGAGATCATGCATTTTTCCTGTTGCAATTTACGGTTGTGAGTCCTGGACTCTCTCTCAATCACTGTAAATAAAAAATATATATATCAGAATACCATGGATCGAGAAGAGGGAAAACATCGACATTCTACACGCATTAAACATCAAGGAGAACTGGCTAATAAACAGCATCCTGAAAGTTGAAGTATTTTGGCCGCATCAAACGTCCCAAGCAAAAGCTTGGGATCAAACCCGGCACCTTGGCATTACGAAGCGCGTTCACAACGCCTAAGCCACATATGCCGACACCCCTCTTAAAAAGCATGTCGTAAATGTAGACTTATTAGGGTGTGTTTTCTTGAGTGTTGAATTAAAAATCACAGCACTTGTAAAACCCCAATAAATACTTCGTCCCCATCTTCAGCAGCAAGCGAAAAGTTCCAATTTCGATGGTACCAGTAATCGTCTGACTGTATATCCTTGTGTTTCCTTTGAAGTCTGAGTGCATCTGCCTGGGAGGCAAGGATCCATTGTCTGCGTACCAATATGCCAGATCTGTAAAAAGGATGTGCAAAACTCAAGTTCTGGAAGACTAAAGTACAGATGTAGACGAACAAGCAGAACCTTCTGCCGGAGTTTATTGCAAGAAGAAGAAGATCAACCGTTCGTTGTCAGGATAAGACTCTACTTATCCCGGTTTGTAGTTTAGAAAACTAGAACTGAATCTGGGATGCCACGTACTGACTGGTTTGCATCGCGTCACATGGCAGACCGGAAGTATGACATGGATTCGCTCCCTAGGAGATAACAGGTATACTGGGAGATGTGCAGGTCGACGGTCTGGCTACTCTTTATCCCTTTGGCTTCCTTCCCCCTCAGATTGCACAGCCATGTATCATGGTTCCGTTGTACATCAGACAAGTAAAAGTGTCACTTATCTGCTCGACAAATCACATGCAATGTTCGAGTTTCTTACATGGGGTGGGGGGGGGGCTAGGGGGCTGCGTGGTCTCGAGGCATGGTGTCTGCCTCGGGTGCTAGAGGTTCCGGTTTCAATACCTGGTAAGGGCTGGGATTTTTTCACGTTGAGTTGGACTTTTAGTATTTTCCCTGGTCTCTGGATAGTGAGATGGGACGCCCATGTGCATTGTTGCGTCTTGAAACAAAAATCCCTTGGCAGTTGGAAATCGCAAAGAGTAACCTAACGGCCGGGCAAAATTTGGAGTTCAGAATCTACCTAAAGTTTTTCAGGATCCTCGCTGATGCTCCAGAGCATTTGCACTGTGCTGTGCTTCTTCGGACTCGGACAGAGCATTTATGAGCATTTATGGGTTACTACCCATGTGCGATGTTGATCCGTTGTTCAAACTTCAACTTACACAAGCTAAATTATAAAATTGAATGCTGCTGCCAAGGCATGACACTTTTAGAAATCACAAGCTTAATTTCTTGTGTTAAAATCTACTTATTAAAATTCTTAGTAACTTTCTAATTTATCCATGTATCATAAGTCATTAAAAACACTTTCCGTAAAGTCTTGCTATATAGCACTGGTAATCATGTTACACTACAGCCTTCTGTCTTGCGTAATGTCGGCCCATTTCTGATCCAGATTTTCTTCTATGACATGATTTTAAACTATCCAGCATCTTCTATCTTGGGCTCACTCTGCCTCTCCTTCATCTTTGTCCCAGGGGATGCAGGTGTTTTTGGCAATGAAAGAGCCAACAGATTAGCCGGTTCTGCCATAGTTACAGAGAGCCGGCCAATGGGTCATGCAGACATTTTTAATGCTATTAGAGAGGTAGGACAATCTGAGGATTTTGGGAGCAGCACATCCACATTTTTGCTAAGAGTGCAAGAATTGGGAGTAAAGATCAGCACAGCCAGGCATGAGAAGCACACCGAACGCACGAGAAGTCTTATCAACCAACATAGGACTTGGACTATCAACCGCGGGACTCTGATGTAAATGGTGAAGAGGGAATCTGAGCACCTATGGACATGTCCGGAGTGCCGTGAAGATAACCCAAATCATAACTCATAACTTACTTCCCTGTATTTTCCAAATAATCTTTTATCTGTTTACAGGATATGATTCACTTCTATGCAACAGGGTTGATATTACTGAGCTCTTAAAAACTCTTCTTATCTCTTAAATAAAAAGATAGTAAAGAATGTTTGTCAACCTGTGAGATGATGCTTTTGCTTGAACTAATTCTTTAGCACATCAATTTGACATACCTGCCTACATCAAGATTAACATTTAAAGCAGCTTGAACTACTGCATGGTGCAGCATTTGAGCTTCTGCATTGTCCACTTGCTCCTAAAAGACCTACACCACATCTAGCTTGTCATGCATCAATTCACCCCTCCCCCACAGTGGTGCAGCACCAGACAATGGTACACGTAATGCTAATCTCCCCATGTCCTGCCCATATACACACTAGCTTACTTCTGATTGGTAGTTCCTTAACCTATCACTTTGGCACAAGGTTACGGGGGTCTTCTGCAATGTGGTTGATATCATGTGTTGTATATTTCAGCACGCCACGCTTTTAACACTCCAAAAATATGGAGAAACTGACCCTAAAACAACCCCAATATACAGTGCTGCAGCCTATGTCACAGACAATCTATTTCTCAGAATGAAAACATAAAATACAAGACAACACAGAAAGCAAACAACAGAGCGGGACACACCTGTTTGTAACCTTTAGGAAAGTCGACCAGCCCAACAAACTTG